CCACAGCCTCCTGCAGGGGGCTCTGGGAGTTAGAGGGGCAACTGGGCATTTCCCACCCCCTTGTGTGCCATGAGTGTGAAATGGGGAATTTCCCCAGGACCCCTGAGGACGGGCATCTGGCTCATGGCACTGTGCCTGTGATGCTGCCCTGCCGTGGGGGCATCTATGGACAAACTCGTTCTCAACTGCTATCAGCTTTCTTTGCCCCCTCATCTCTCTGAGTTATGGTTACTGTGTTGACCAGCTGCCTTACCTGTCTGGCTGCTACATCCCTCCCTAGCTGGCAGCATGAGCCCTTGCCAGCCACCTATCCCAGCTACAGGGAGGCCTCAATGGGCATACTGGGTGCTGGGGGCTAAGGTCACTCTCTCAGGCACCTGGGTATCCTCCTTCTCTGCACCAGGGGGTCCCTCTCCTGCTTCCCACGCTGCCCACAACCTTTCTAGCAGTTGAAAAGCTCAGATGTACAATTGTCCTTACAAAGGCCCTTTTGGTAGGCTCTCTGCCGGCCCCCACCTCTCCATCCAGGCACCCAGCATCAAGCTGCCCCTTGCTCTCTTGTGGTTCCAGCATCTATTGGCAGTCTTCTGTCTTCACGCGCAATAGCCAAGTGGCTCCACTGACCTCTTGCTGTGCTCTGGGCACCATTACCCGTCTGGCCTCTGGGCCTTTGCACATGGAATGCCCTTCTCTATAGCTGGTAGTGCCAGCTCATGTGACACCTCCTCCAGGAAGCTTTCCTTATACCGCCTCCCAGCCCAGCGGGCTTATTTTACCCCCTCCTTCACCCACACTCACTGCTCAGAGCCAAGAATGCTGTAGGGAACTGTCAGTTTCTGGACTATTTCACCTTCAAATGCTGAGCTCCTGCTGTGCTCGGTACACAGCAGGAGCCTGATGCGTTCTTGGATTCTTCTCTCTGTATCACACCTGGAATCTCATCCATCACTAACTCCTTTGGCTCCCTAGTCCCCTTGACTTTGTACCACCTCGTTGGTCCATTGTGCTTTCCTTGCTTCTGACCCTGAGTCCCTGAAGCCTGTTCTCCACATGGCAGCTGGGAGGATCCTTTTAAAACACAAGCCCGAAAGCATTTCTGCACTAAAAGCCCATCACCCACTGCTGACTGCGACTGCCTGTTGTCACCCTCTTCCTCATCTGTACTTTGACCTCCTGCCTGCTTCTAGGATTCTTCCTGTCATCGCCCTTCTGTGTTTGCATCCTCCTCTGCTCAGCTGAGACTCTACTCCCTAGCACCCCGACTATTCTTTCCCCCGCCCCACCTCCTTGTCCTTCTGGATGTAGGGTGGACTCATCCAGCTGATCTTGACTCTGGTCTGGGACTTCAGCCCCGTGTCCCCTGTCTCCAGCCATCTCAGCTATCATCCCCTGCCAGTGCTCTCCCTTTTCCTGCACCAGCTCTTTGAGCCCTCAGCCCTCTCTCCCAGCCTTGCAGCCTGTGCTCCTCCTCTCCAGAGCAGTTAGTCTCACCTCCTGTTTCCCAGAGAAGGCAGAGGCCACCGAAGTTGGGCATTCACCCAAACCTTCCTTACCTTTCTTCCTCCTTGGCAAGAAAGGGGTCTCTTTTCGCACCCAAGGTTAGCAACCTTACTCATGTTATGGCGCCCTGATACATGAGTCGCCCATGAGCCTGCCGTGGCCATAGCTGCCACCTCTCTGCTGGCTTGCTGGCTGTGACCACATTCTCTCCATCCCTCCAGCCCACACCTGCTATGTCCTCTTTCCCACCTGCACTTCAGTCTTCATGCCACTGTCCCCTCACCTCTGCTGGCTCCCAACCTGCAGACACCAACTTCATCCTCCTGCATGCCTCTCACGTCACCCTGGCTTCCAGGATGCCGATCTCTTGGTTTTTCCACTCCTTGCCAGTTTCCTTTGCTGCCCCTTCCTTGCGTCCCTGCTGTTGAGGGTAGGAGGGCCTTCTTTATTCTTGCAGTTCCCTCTCTTTGCATTCTCCGAGGCTCATGGTGTTAACTACTAACATTACAGCTCGGACCTCTCCCCTTAGTTCAAGACCCATAGGTCCAGCTGCTGCCTGGACCTCTCTACTTGTGTTCTACTGGACCTCACACCTAGCCTGGCCTCACGAAGCTTGGCTTTCATTGGGGAAGACAGGCAATAC